CTCAACTTTTCGTATCTCAAGAATATTATCTATCAGAAAGGTGGACATTTAAATTTCTGTACAAGCTTTAGAAGTTATGAATGAGTTATCGTCTATGCAAAGTATGTCAATGAGAGTACTTTCTATGAAGAAAAATTCATGACTAGTAGAGTACAAATACATATTGCGTATGTTTCATAAATTGCAAACCAATCTTTCTTTTGCCTACAAAGCCAAATGAGGCCTTCAAGTTCAGAAGTCAAAATGGGAAGAACGTCTCCTAGAGGGTAAAGAGTAATATTTTTGGTGATATTATAATAATTTGCTGGCGGTGGAAACTACAGAATGTTCCTGTACAAAAGAAAACCTTATCTCTCTTTTCTCGAAACTCTTTTTATGTATAAAAATTGTAAAATTATCTTAGAGACTTGAATTCTCCTATAAGCAAAAAAATTTATAATCTAAAAATAAAGAAAAACAAGCTTCAAAAATTTTTTCTATGAATTTTCTGTATTGTGTATTTGATTTCATTGCAAATAATACGATTGACAGCTGCCATGAACCTTTCCCTTCATACAACGGAACTAAGAACTTTCTGAAGTCATGGCCTAAACCTGCTTCGCCTACTAAAGTTAATAAATTAACAAGCTTTTCTAACCTTCTATTTATTGTTCGTAGAAAAATGTGAAAAAACATCTTTTGTCTATCCTGACCTCTGCATTTCATTTCAAAGTTGTGCTAGCTTATAGCCAATTATCGGCTTTGCTTAAAACTTATTAAAACGCAGGGGTATAGAAACTAATTAATAGCGGGCAGCAATCAGAAACGTTTACCATACTTTTCCTTTATCATCATGTTCACCTTTATGAAGAAACGTTCACTGATTAGCTTTATTTTATTTCTAAAATAAAAGTGTCTTGAAGGGAAGGTGCGTCTCAATTGTTCTTTATCCTAATTTGGTTTTGATTTTATTAAAGAGAATGTAAGAGCTATACCCTTAGAACGTTTAGTCTTGATCATCTCGACTTTTCTCGAAATTGTGGTCTTCAGCTATCAGGATTGTTAACATTGTTGATGAGTGAAGATCACAACTCTAAGGGATGTCGTTGACACTTACCTAATTTGTTGAAGATGGAGTTTTAATGAAATCGTGCCGTACCGTACAATGTGTGCTGAATTCTACTACACCATCTTTTTTGCACAAGTTCAAAATAAAGTTACTTTAGTGTACTTTCCAAAGGGAAAGTTAATAAAATATGCATATTGAATGCAATGAGGATGAATTGGTCAATCGTTTTTATTCTAGTCTAGATAAATTCAGTGAGGAATTATTACACAAAGCGTTTTAAAAAAACGTGCACCCGATCGTCCAACTCTTTACTTCGTAATTTTGAAAGGCTAGGGACTTTGATTAGCGCTTAGAAATGGACCTTGTCTCTTTTTCTACTACGGCGGGCGATTCAAAGTTGTGTTCATTAGCCTTGGCGTACAATATTAGCATTAACACAAATATGTTTCTAAGACGCTGGAAAATTTCTCTGACGGGATTACCTGCTGCGCTGACTTCAAATGTGACAAAAAGTTTATTACCTCAGCTCTTGTTAGTGATAGGGTAAGTGCTTGTCGGTAGCTCTAAAGCAACATATATAAATTTTTCTTAAACAACTGGGTTCCATTTGCAATACTAACTTTAAA